AAGTTCCAACCACTGACCTTTACGTTAGCAGCCAAGTGCTTAACCGCTGCGCCACCAAGGCTCCTCCATTGGTGGGTAGGGTACAGAAAATAAACAGCAATCTGATAAAGAGTAGGAAGGAGGAAAGCCCTACTTTAAATAGGATAGTTAAGATGTGTCTCTATGAAGAGATAACACTTGAGCTAACGCATGAATGATAAGAAGGAGCTAGCCAGGCAAAAATCTGGGTAGAGGGAACAATAGCAGCCAAGTCCCTGAACTTGAGCATGTTTGAGGGACAGAAAGAAGGCCACTAAACATATAGCCTAGTGAGCAGTAGGGAGAACGGTAGGGGATGAGGTCAGAGAAATAGGAGGGACCAAATCAGGTAGGGCCTTCTATGCATTAGAAAGGAGTTTTGGATTTTATTGTGCATGCAGTGAGAAACCAATGGAGAGTTTTAAGTAGAGGAGAGAAATCTAATTTGGGCTTTATAAAGGTCCCTTGCTTCTGGTGGAGAATGAAAGGGGGAATGTAGTGACTGAAGTGGGAGCAGGGAGACTAGTTAGGAGACTTTATATCACTGGGTAGTGGTTTGGAATAGGATGTTATCAATGAACATGGAATGGAATAGATATATTTGGGGTATATCTTGGAGGTACTGCTCACAGCACTTGCTGATAAAGTGGATGTAATGGAAAAAAAAATCAAGGATGACTCCACAAGATTTTTGGCCTGAGCTACTTTTTAAACATCCAAGTAGAGAAGACATAATGCCTTTGTTTGAAGCAGCTATTCTCCAAGTGTGGTCTGTAGACCCCTACAGGTAACTGAGAACCTTTCAGGAAGTCCATGAAGTCAAAGCTATTGTCATATGAATACTAAGACAAGGAACTGGTGGCACAGTGGTTAAAGATATTATTTGCTTTTTTCACTGTTTTGTCATTTGCACTGTAATGGTGAGTAAATCCACTGGCACCTTAGCACAGATAAAGGCAGTGGCACCAAACTGTACTAGTACTTATATTCTTTATTGCCACATATGCAGTAAAAAAAAAAAAAAAAAGATAGAAAAAAGCCAGTTTCACTTAACTCACTCAGCCCTTGAGTATACTTTTTGTAAATAAAGACTTTGAACTTTATTTTACTGTTATTCAGTCTCAAAATTTCTAAAGGGGTTTCCATATTTTATTCAGCGCACATATCCTTTAACTTCAAAAAGAAGAAAAGTAACAACAAGAGTACACTTCTTTTTAGTGTACTGTGTAAAGAAATGGGAAGTATATATAAAGCACTTGCATCTACTGATAGTCGTCTCAGGGAAAAGCACTCGTGTCATTGAGTTGCAAGCTGAGCTAGCCTCTTTCATGCATCGCCATTTTTGCTTGAATGAACAACTGACCAACAAACTAGGTTATCCACACTTGGGTATTTGGCAGACATTTTCTGGAAAATGAATTATGTGAGCCTGCCATTCTAAAGAAAACAACTGGCAATATTTGTTGCCAGTGATAAAATTTGAGATGTCAGGCAAAAATTAGAAATTTGGAAAATGTGTCTATCACTATGAACTTGACAGTTTTCCAATGCTCAAAGACTTTTCTGATGAGTTTGATGGTGGTATTCACAAATGTGATTTTTTGATATTGTGTAATGAAATATATAATTACTTAGAAGATCTGCCTAACTAGGTGAACTAATATCTTTTGAGTGACCAACAAATCATGTATCAGACAGAATGCACATATAAAACAAAAGAACAAAAAATACTCAATAGCAATTGAACAGTATATAAATTGTGTTAATCATATGAATTATTCTTTTATGCGTTATCTGAATTAATTTTCATTTCCATTTCAGTTTTGATATCTTTGCTGCACACCTTCACCCTAACATTTTCCCAGCAATTTATACCAGTCACGTTTTGTATAGATCCCATCTTAGGATAAAAGGGAAAAGATAATTTTAAAATCTATTAGAGTTTTTTTAATATGTTTATTAGCAGTATAGTTAAAATTATTTCAGCTAATGCTAAATCTCTACTATGAAATGCATATCATGTTTTAAATTTAAGTGTGCTTTAACACATTTTCATTTACTCAAGACTATTAATGGTTTTAAGGAAGGGAGATGAGAAGTTGACATTTGTGTAAATGAAAAATTTCTGTCTTGGTCATAGGCATAAGAAACCAGTCAATTACTCACAGTTTGAAGACTCTGACAGTGATGGTAAGTGGAACTATCTTGCTTTAAAGATTTGGAAATTTATTTCCTCAGAATGTGTATGGTGTTGTTATCGGTTGCTGTTGAGTCGATTCTGACTCATGGCAACCCCATGTGTGCAGAGTAGAACTGCTCCATAGGGTTTGTAAGGCTGTGACTGTTCAGAAGCCAGTTGTCAGGCCTGTCTTCTGAGGTTCCTCTAGTCGGGTTTGAACTGCCAACCTTTCAGTTAGCAGTCCAGTGCTTAATTGCTGGCGCCACCCAGGGACTGCATTATATGGTATAAACAGCTCAACATTGAGCATATTCTCCAGTCGCATATGGCATGTTGTTGTTAGTTGCCGTTGAGTTGATTCTGACTCGTGGTTGGTGACCCCATGTATGCAGAGTAGAATTCCTCCATGGGGCTTTTAAGGCTGTAACCTTTTGGAAGCAGATTGTCAGGCCTGTCTTCTGAGGTGCGTCTGGGTAGGTTTGAACTGCTAACTTTTTGGTTAGTAGTCAAGCGCTTAACTATTTGTGCCACCCAGGGACTCCTTGCATTTGGCATAGGTGTGGAAAAGTAATTTTCTAATAATTTGGGATAATTATGCATCTAATACACTAACAAGAATTATGTAGATAAGCTGTAAATGAACAGGGCCAGGTGAAAGTGACTATTTAGATCTAAACTACTCTAGATCCACGTTTCTCAAATTAGGGTTTGTCTCCTTTTACCTCTTCCCTCAAGAAGGTAGACATTGTCTTTCTGAAACACAAATTCCTGTTAACTGTAAAATAAAACAAGCCCTTGAAGAAAGATTAGGCTTAAGTTATACTATACTGCTATTAAGGGATCTTTAGTCAAAAAGTTTGAGAAACATTGCATTAAATTATACTTTGGAGGCGGGGCCAAGATGGCGGA